CAATCATAAAGTTAATATTATTTTCTGTTTTTGGCAACACATGATTCATATCTGAAATATCTGGATAGATGGAAGAACTTTATTAGTCTGTTGAGACTGATAACATTTGAGGCTTCTCAGACTTACAAGGCAAAAAGTAAGCAGTCAAAGTAGCTCTCTGCTACAGCAGCCCAGGTTCGATACCAGGTCAGCTCATGTGGGATTTGTGTTGGATGAAATGGCACTGGGGAAGGTTTTCTCTGAGTGCTTCGGTTTTCACTGCCAGCTTCAGACTTATCATCTACATACTAAGTGGACTCAATCTCACCCCACCCCAAATACACCCCAATAGAAAACCTGTGAGTACATTCAAAGTGTGATGGAATATTTTTTCACATTCACCCAGACATGAAACTAAAAAATAATTACTTGCCCATCATGAGTGTAGCCATCTTGTGGCATATTATGCAGCTGACTGCAAGTACGTATACACTCAGCCTTCTTCTTTCAAGGATTAAGATTCTTGTGTTTACTAGAGCACAACTTGTCACATTGAGAACAGAATGTAATTGTTGAGGGGGAAACCTTTGTGCTTCATATTTAGGAGGCTCTGGGATTGGGACAAAAATGAGAGGTCAGCCTGTCTTGATGGAAATTGTCATGGTTTTACTCATTCCCCCCAACGAAATGCTATGATAGTGTCCTAAAAGAATGTTAAATCCTTCCCAACTTGTCACTTAGAATCTCTGTCCTATTTGAGTTCATATAACGTGTACAGCTGAGAAGGCTTTGTTAAATGTGTTTAGAAACAGAAGTCCTGTAAACTATGGTATTCTGTTTCTCCCTGTGAAAGCTAGGGCAGTACCTTAAAATTGACCATAACTTCTTATCTTCACCTTTCACATTTACCAGATATAATTTTTGTTGTTGTATTCTTGTAGTTAAACCACACTTTGGTCCTTAAAATATATTTTGATACCATCAGTCTGCCTTATCTTCCAGGAGAGAGCATCATTATAACTACTTACATACTTACTTACTTACTTACTTACTTACTCGCTTACTTACTCATGGAGCTGAGCGCTTCTGGAGGAGCCGCCAATTGTGCAGCTACTCAAGAATTTCCCAGCATTTTATGGAACCCGAAGGTTCATCACCGTGTTCACAAGAGCCTTCCACTGGTCCCTATCCTGAGCCAGATCTATCCAATCCATACCATCCCATCCTATCTCTCTAAGATCCATTTTAATATTGTCCACCCACCTACGCCTTGGTCTTCTCAGTGGTCTCTTTCCTTCTGGCTTTCCCACCAACATCCTATACGCGTTCCTCGTCTCCCCCATTCGTGCTACATGACTTGCCCACCTCATCCTCCTTGACTTGATCATTCTAATTATACTTGGAGAAGAGTACAAGTTATGAAGCTCCTCATTATGCAGTTTTCTCCAACCTCCTGTCACTTCATCTCTCTTCGGTCCAAATATTCTCAACACCCTGTTCTCAGACACCCTCAGTCTATGTTCCTCCCTTAATGTCAGAGACCAAGTTTCACACCCATACAGAACCACAGGCAAAATTATAGTTTTGTATATTCTAATTTTTATGTTTTTGGACTTAATTATAAAATTATTATATTGGGCATTGTCTTAGTTAAATTTAACTAAGGCAGTCGTCAGTGTCTAACGCAGTGTTGTAGTTAGTACTGGACTACTGTCCCAACCCTTTGATGGGTTATTATAATTTGTTTTAGTTGCTAAATTAATACGATGTTTTGTTGTATGTGAAGGAATCCCATTCACCCACATTGCCAGTCCAATGCCAGAAGTGTATCGCAAAGCCAGCATTGTCCCAAGAGGTGTTGCTAACAGAAGAGCAGCTCTTAACTGGATACGTAAACATGCAGAGAAAGGAGTGATCTACTTTGGTGATGATGATAACACATTTGATCTGAGGTTGTTTGAAGAGATACGTGACACCAAGAAAGTTTCTATGTTCCCAGTAGGTTTGATTGGAGATTATGCTGTGAGTTCACCCGTCCTGAAGGAGGTAACTGTGTTCACTTTTGTGGCACTATAAGAAATAGTAATATAGTAATCATACTAATGAGAAAAAATCTTTATTTAAGATCACAAGATATACACATCTTCATTTCTTTTATTCAAAACAAGTTTCATTGCAATAGATATTTAGCAAATTATGCATAACATATATCCAGAAATGCACTTTGGTCTTCATATAAAATATCCGTTATATTGTCGACTTTTAGCAAAATTGGAATATTTTGATAAACTGTAGTAAAACTTCCTAATGTAAAATTACATGGAAAACAATTTAGCGGTTATTAAGTTGTTACATGTGAACAACAGATAAACAGTTAAATACAAGGGCTGTTTGGAAAGTAACCTTCACTGAGCTAGATATGTTTCTGATATGTTTTGTTAAGAGCTTCAGTGAGCTCTTAACAAAACAAACAATGAGGAAAAAATTGTATTACTCATATATAAAAAAGAACAAACGTGCTTAAGTTACTTGAGGCACTTGTATCAAGAATAAGTTTCTGTATGCCTGTGTCAAAGAAGTCTCCTGCCTGTGAGCTTAGCCCCATTCTGACACCTTCCATCAAGTCCTCATTACCGTTAAAGCACTGTGACTCCAACCAGTTCTTCAGGTAGTAAACAGGCGGTAGTTACTCGGATTGAGATGAGGGCTGTAAGGAGATGTAGTGAAACAATTCCAGTATGGGAAGCTGTATGCGGATGCGCATTGTCATGGAGGAGCACTATGAATACCCCAGATGGCAGCATTCAACATCTTTTCTAAATGGCCCTAAGCAGTTTTTATAGTGTTTCACAGTACACTTCTGATGTTATTGTGGTCCCTTGTTGCATGAATTCCACCATCAGCACTCCTTTTCTGTCCCAGAAAACAGTTGCCATCAGCTTTCTGGCAGGCAGACAGAGTTTGTTTAAACATATTTTCGNCAGTAAAAGCAGTAGATCAACACACATTCACCAAACAAGCCGAAAATATGAAGAAAGTCGTCTTCTGGGTTTTGGCGCCATGTATACTTCGTTTTGGCTGACATTCCTCCGAAACATCAGCCAAAACAAAGTATAGACGGCGCCAAAACCCAGAAGACGACTTTCTTCATATTTTCGGCTTGTTTGGTGAATGTGTGTTGATCTACTGCTTTTACTGCTCTTTGGTTTCAGCATACACAAATTAAATCCAGATTTCATCACCTGTTACTTGTACAGTGCTGTCTTTGTGGTATGGCTCCAAAAACGTCAAAGCTGAAGGCATTCTCTGCATTTGTGCACACCTGTGAGCATTTTCGGAACCCATCTCATGCAAAACTGGTGATAGCCTAGCCAGCTCATGATACATGAAATTGTGGAGCTCCATCTTTTACAAATTTTTCCATCTTTCAACATTCTACACCATTCTCTTACAGTTCCTTCATTCTCTATATTTTGGCCATAAGCCATTAATAATTTGTGATGTATTTCCACAGCACTCATGTTTTTAGGATGAAGAAAGCTGATAACAGTGCAAATTTTGCAGCTGCAGGATTATCAGTCGCAGGACGCACGATAACTCCCTGCAGACTGCTTTTACCGGTTCTCATGGTCTCTTCGCTTGCGGATTTCTTATATTTTTTTCCTTCTACCCTGAAGATGGAGGCGATACGTTCCTGTGAAACGTCGGTTAACACCACATATACACAGTGCCAAATCCCAGAAGACTGCTTTCTTCATAGTCACCGCCGTGAAAGCCTCAAATCTTACAAAATATTATTAAGTTTGGATATAAGACTCATCCTCTCATCTCAGAAATGCACCCTCCCATATCCCTTGTGGCAGATATAAGGGATGTTTTGCTGAAGACGTAAGAAACATTGGGAGTCAGTGGTGTCTGGTCAAGTGAGCTCTCAGAGGCTACAGCTGCTGTGATAGATGGGCTAGCCCAGAGTAGCCCCTTGGAGATCATTTTATGTAATGCTAAAAACTCTCCATTATAGGAAATTGTTACTGTATCTCACTGATCACATCAAGTAAAATATATTGGGCTAGTTACAGACAGCCATTAACCTGCCTGATGTGATTGCAGCAACCATTATTACTTGTTTTTCACTGTTACCAAATATGCATTTCTCAATCTCAAAAAATTAAGTCGGGCCTAGCACCACTCCTGGACCTATGCCTAAAGAATAGTTTGGAACTACTTATTGACTTTATATTGATGTTTTGTGTCTGAAACACAATCCTTTTTTCCCTTTTCTCTCCCCATTTGTTTTCAGCTTATGCAAACTGTTCGTAACTTCCTATATAATTTTGCAGGGAAAAGTTGTTGGTTTTTTTGACTCTTGGCCATCTAAGAGGAAGTTCCCTGTTGATATGGCAGGATTTGCCGTAAATGTTGAATTTTTACTGACCCATCCAAATGCCACAATGCCATACAAAGCAGGATATGAAGAAGACCACTTCTTGAGAAGTCTTGGCTTGACATTGGAAGACATAGAGCCAAAGGCTGATTCTTGTACTCAGGTATACTAGTGTCCTTTTCAGATAACTAAACTGTAATGAATTTTATATAAAAATGTGTGATTCTTTGGTGTTTGAATGGAATGTACAGAAATTCCTGCATAATGGTCATTGTGTGTTCATGTAATTCCTGGCTTCACTTTCCGTGAGTTTTCTAGTATTTTTGTTGTGTTCAGGCTCTACTTCATTTGTTTAGCAATCTATCGCAGAAACTAATTTGTTACAATTCGAACAACTAGTATTGTCCAATTAAGTTTTTTCTTAATGTCTTTGGCTACAGGTCATTTAAATGAAGTTACTGGAATAACTTGAGATGCCTACTTTCATTTAACACATTCACTGCTGCTTGATGCGCATGTGTCACACAGCTCTTGCTCTAGATGTCAGTAACTTGTGTCCACCATTGTAGTGTCAGTAGCTTGCCTGTCTGAACTGGTCAGCACTATGATTTTGTTTCTGCTTGCTAACAGTGGCACTCAAATCATTTCACAACAGGTCAGTGCAGCCCTTAATACACTTGAGTTATTCTTTCCTTATTTACAGACCAGAGAAACTAATCTTACAGCCAAACATATGATATACTACTCTGTCCAAAAAGTATCCGAACTTGGGCCGGGAAAACAAAGTTCTGTATCTTGATGGTTACAATACCTAGTTCCTTTCAAAGTAGGCCCCTTGTGATGCCACACACTTAGCCCAGTGGTCCTTCCATCGCTGGAAGCAATTCTGGAAGGCTTCTTTTGGAATAGCATGCAGCTGCGCCATCACGTTCTGTATGATGTCAAAATGGGAGCCTTTTAGCGGTGTCTTCAATCTCAGGAACAGTCAGAAATCACAAGGAGCCATGTCAGGAGAGTGGGGAGCCTGGCGAACCTGTGGAATGCTGTGCTTGGCCAGGAAACCCTGAATCAGGTATGATGAATGAGCTGGGGCGTTGTCATGATGCAACTGCCAGTTGCATGCGTCCCACAGCTCCGGCCTCTTGCACCGAACTGCATTACGAAGATGGTGGAGGACTTCTCGGTAGTACTCCTTATTGACAGTTTGGCCTAGTGGTGCATACTCATGATGCACAAGACCCCGGTAATCGAAAAAAAAACAGTATCACCTTCACATTGCTCTGAACCTTTCGTGCTTTTTTGGGCCTCGGGGATGTTGGATAGTTCCATTGTGATGCCTAGACCTTGGTTTCTGGGTCATATCAGTAAACCAATGACTCGTCACCAGTGATCACAGTCTTCAGGAACTCAGGACCCTGTTGGCGCACTCCAGTATGTCCTGCGCAACCTCAAGGCGGAGTTGTTGCTGCTCCAGCGAAAGCAGGTTGGGCACATTTTGGTGCCACTTCAACATGCCCAAATCCTCAGTTAAAATTGTGTTTGCGGAACCTCTGCTGATCCCAGCCTCATCAGCAACTTCCCGGATTGTCAAATGGCAGTCCTCCATGATCAGTGTCTGCACTTTTTCAATGACATCAGCATTTCGGCTCGTTAACGGTTTCCCAGAACGCTGGTCACTGTCTGCTAACATACGGCCATCTTTAAAGCGGTTGAACCACTCTTTAATTTGAGTGAACCCCATTGCATCATCGCCAAAAGCCTGCTGAATTTTTCGAATTGTTTCCGCTTGGCTATCTCCAAGTTTCTGACAAAACTTGATGCAGTATCGCTGCTCCAAGCGTTCTGTCATCTTGAGCGAAATGAGAATGCGACGAACACGTGTTACACCACTTCGCTATCTTGTAGCCACAGACGCATCCAGCGGTGTTGCGAGTCAGCAAAAAATCACGCATGTGCAAGAAAGACCCTTCTACCACTACGCTCAGTTTCCCCACCCCTTTGGCCATTACTTACAGTGGCAAGAAATAAAGTCGGATACTTTTTGGACAGTGTTGTACATTAAATTTCAAATAGATCAATTAAATGTCCAACATAACATCTACTTGAAATCATTCTGATGGTTTAATGTTGAAGGGTTCTTTGTTAGGTGGAAACAGAGCATGTAATGAAGTATAGTTTACATTTGTATTTATATGTATAATTTGTATTATGTTAGGTTTTCGTATGGCATACACAGACCTCAAAGAGAGAGCCTCCAACAATCAAAATTGGATCGCAACTTGACACAAGTTTGAAAGACTTGTTGGAAGAAATTACATCCTTGGGAATGGCACGCGTAAGTTCAAGTTCTGGTAAGTATTGTGCTCGGGATTTTCACCATATAAGAAATACTTCCTGTAATATGTAGTTGATATTTTGTGGAAAATTTTAAAGTGGCACAATGCTTTTGCTTGGACATTTGTTAAGTAATGTTACAAAAATTACATATGTTTTTGTAGATCTTTAAAACATCTTGCCAATTAACTGTTTCTGTCTGATGCACAGAATTGTGAACACTTATCATAAGCCCTGCAGAGGAAATATAAGATGTGCAACTTTGGAATTAATTTTTACTTTAAGACTTGTTTAGTACAGTTTGTTTCTGTCTTTATGCCTTATACTTTTTTCCCTCTTCTTTCTCTGTTTCTTTCTTTATTTGAGGAAATAGCGCAGTCAGAACAAACAGCTCACTAATTCCATGAATAACATCTTTATTACCTATGACTACAGAAATTTCTGAAATTTTGGCATTGGTCAGGTAACCCACACCACCAATTCCAGTCTCCAGTCAGTATTTATAAAGCTGAATATGAATGCAGACAGAGCTTACGTAACAGATTTGGTCACATGTCACTCCCTACATACATAATGTTTTGATAGTCAGCTATAATTACAAATAGTTGATAACATGTTTACATCAAAATATCCATTTATGTCACAGATATATGCACAAAACATTGGTTCTTTCAGTTTATATCTTTATTTGCAGTCAGAACTTACAGAAATGTTACCATTTCCACAGGACACAAACTATTTATATTTCAGTAATGAAATCCCTATATTCCGAGTACAGAAATTTTCCATTGTGAAATTTGAACATCAAGTATGAACTGAGTTTTTCTTTTGTTTGATGGGAATTTTCCTTTTCACGCTCATTACCACAGACTGTAATATCCAATGATGCAGGTTGTGACCTCAAAAGAGAACTGTGGATATGTGAAACCAGTGAGTTATAGTTTTCTTTCAGTGAGATCATAAGCTGAATTTAGTTCATGAAGGTTGGGAGGAGTCTCATTGTGCCAGGATAGCTCAGTAAGTAAGGTGACTAGCTGCACATTGGACTGGGGATCAAGAACCAGTCTGTCCTTTGAAAATAGGGAAAGGACTCATGCCTCAAGACTAGAGCAGTTTGAGTGGAAAAGCAGCCACCGATCTCCATGTTGTGCCAAAATATAGATTATTGCATGGAGCACTTACTTGTACATAGTCAGGTACCTTGAAACAGATAGTCATGTTGCTGTTTAGCATTCTTTGCTAACTAGTCTGCAGTTGAAACAACATTATTAAATAGTAAACTAAGAAAGAAATATTTTTATCTTGCAAGAAAATAGGCTCATGTATTACACTTTTGAAGTAGAGACAATGTTTTGTTGCCCATTAACATTTAACAGGTCACAGTGAACACTCTTCTGAAAACAAGTCGCTGAAATGAAAGTTCTATAAACAAAGACATATCAGTATTATGTATACTAAAATTTAGAGCAGCAGGACACCACTGTATATGGGAATACAGTCACAGAATCCGAATGCTGTATACATTTTCATTCTGTGTAAAGTTACCCACTAAGTAAAGGAAAGAAAAGAAAAGAAAAGTGTCTTCATCATAATCATCACTGTCATTATAGTATCATGTTCATAATTGTTTCCTTGCATAGCTCTGTCACATTTATGTGTATGTTTCAGGTGTGAAGAGTTACATTACGAAGGATGGCAACACAAAAACCCTTTGAAGAAGGAAACACGAAATTGTAGAGTACCTTGTAGTGTGATATCAGAGAAGTAAAATTGTAGTAAGTTTATTGATCTATGGAGGTGCCAGCTCAGTCAGTCTGTATGAAAACAGTGCTCATCTGCCTCAAATTAAGTTGTCATTGTGAATCAGAACCCTTATTTATATTGGCATAAAACAGAAGTGGCTCTTTTTTCAGGTTCTGGGGTGTGAATAAAAATGTTTGATATGTTAAGTATTAGCAGTGCCATGAGATGTCTGATGCACAAACTAAAGAACAGACAGTAGTTTCTTCATAGAGCAGCACAAATTGCAGTATGCAGTTAAGAATAAATGGCTTCCCATAACAAGTAACTTGGCTTTATAATGCATTTAAATCTAGAAGTATAGTTTATGTATAGCTCACATTTGATAGTGCCACTTTATTATGAATGTGGATTTGAATGTGAATGTTCTTAGTCAAGTATTCTATCTACTCAATTACACAGCATAAATGTCTTTTGAAATGTATTTACATGCGGGGCGTGTGTCTACTTCATTTGTAGGGTGAGGAGAAGCGGTGTTGTTTTTGTTAAAAGTTATCCCCTTCAAAATGAAAAGCATATATACTTGTATTTCAGATCTGAAAGGTAGGAAAATTATTTTCACACAGATAACCCTTTCGTTTTGACATTAATGTTTTTCTGAAAGTTCAAGAATATACGTTATGTGGATGAACTAGTCATACATGCATGTATATATTTATAGCTACTGTTAATTAGTATTAAATTTGCTTCCAGTCTGCGCAGAGTTGAATTAGTTTGATTTTCTGATTGATTTGTTTGAATTGCTTGAAGTATGCTAGCAGGTAACAAAGTGCTTAGAAAGTCAGTCTGCTTTATAATATTGTATAATATGATTAATATATTGAAGTTCATCAGAGCCATGGATTCGAGTGACAGTTCTGCACCTACCACACATTTTTGCTGTTAGGTTTTTCAGGCATTAAAATTGTATAGCTTATAAACTAAAACTAATTAATGTAGGTAATTAACTGAGATTTGGACCAAGTCTGAAGTACTGCCTAAATTTCTTCATGTGTGTTTGTATGTGCATGTGAACCCCCAATTTTTTGGTCAGGGGAGTTATTTGTTCTTGGCAGTTCTGAAACAGGATGCTGTACTTTTGAATGGATTCTGAACTCTATGGCTGCCTCTTCCTTTCAGTAGCATAGAGGTGCAGTCAGTTGTACCTTTGTATACAGTTTCTATGCTGTTTCTTCTTCATGGATCTCGCCTTGGGTGTTCTGTTGATGCCCTAGAAGGTGTAGCTATTGGCTTGGTGAATGGACTTGACTTGTAGTGTGGAAGCTTTGTTAGACTTACCAGAGACTGTTGTAGCTCTTTTTATTAGGGTGGTTTTGACAGACTTCTCATGAGCCTGTAGGTGTACTTTTCTTCACTGCTTTCCTATCCATGTGACCAGTAAATCTTTTTCATCACTTCTTTTCCTAACCACTGTGTAGCCATAAAACAGAAAGTAAATCAGGATGCCTTTACTAATCATGTGACCACTAAGAACATTTAGAAAAAATCTTTCCCTATAATCGAATTATCTAGAAAAAACTCCTTCATCACCCCTTCTCAACACATGGCTACACAAACTTTATCATATCCTATCTCCAGGATTGTAGCCTTTGACCCTGAGGGCAGGGTAGCACTTCAGTTTAACTGAGTGGAGGGTGTTGCTAAAGATTGAAAGCGCAAACTAGCTCTTCAATATAGAAACCGTTTATTAACATAAAGGGCTGCTAGTCCACTGAGTCAATGATGTGCTGGGATGAGAATGCATAGAGAGACTACTGAAATTCAATCTAAGTCCAAAAGATGATTCAGATTTGCATAACAGCTGCCCATGAGCTTCTTGGATAGAATGTCCCCTCACTAGTGTCCAGTGCTGGGTATATAAATTCAACACACAAAAGAGGGTGGTACCATGTCTTCTGTTGCATGCGTATGTTCGCTCAACATGTACACCTTATTAAGAACTGTACATTCCGTTATAATTCTAGGCAGTAGTCGGGCAGTTGCCATAACTGAGGTCTATTTCCAAGCCATAACCCTCAGGAAACATTGGTTTATCACTGCACCCCTGTTCAGCACTGTCGTACACTAACTTACAGATGTGCTGCCCATTAAACTACCGAACACATAAAATTATCAACAAAGTGTTAAAACTCCAGAAGGGAGTCATGTGAATTTCTCCCCAATACAGTGATGCATAGACTGCCTCTGTGGTATAGTGGTCAGAGTTCCTGGCTATTGATCCAGAGGTACCGGGTTCTATTCCCAGCGCTACCAGATTTCCTGAATAGTGGGTCTGGAACGGGGTCCACTCAGCCTCATGAAGATAATTGAGGAGCTATTTGAAGGAAATAGCAGCTGTGGTCTAGAAAACCGAGATTAACAGCCATGGGAATTTGTTGTGCTGACCATGCGACACTAACTTGGCCGACAAATGGCAGTTGCTTGGTCAGTATAGTTCACTTGCGGACTAGAGGCTATGGAGTTACAGTGATGCATAACTATGAATCTCTGCCCAACACAATAATACATAATTATACAAGGTTACATAAAAATATGGGGTTTTAGTTCCCATAGCCATGCAAGATGCTACAACTTGTTTCTTCACCTGTCGTCATGACCAGTGGGACTCAAGACATCTGTCGGCTACCTCTTTTCCTCAGTCTGTGACTGCCCCTATTGGGGTACCCAATGACCCTGTATGACAGCCTCTGCAGCCCCACAAAAACATGAAGTCTGAAAATGGTAGTTACAGAGTTTGCTGAAATGCTGGGAATCCTTCAAGATTCTATACAGCATATTCCTGAAAGCTGAAGTCTTGTGTTAAAATAACTTTCTTCAGATAATGTTAATGTTAATTTTTGTTTTGCCGGTCACAGTAACCAAGTGGTTGAGGATTAGTGCTGTGTTGGATTTCACAAACTTTGGGATCCAGGGTTCAAACCTTACAAATGGCATGGACATACATCCACATTTTTATATGTTTTTATAGGAAAAGGCCAATCCCCCATTCAGAGTCCCAGCAATATTCTCAAGGATTGTCTGTGGTTACTTGTATTTTGGGATACATTTTGAATTCTAAGTATAGTGTTATCTATATGTTTGAATGAGCTTGTCTTCTACCAAATGCTTACGGTTGATTTGGAATCATAAGTTTGTCCTTGTCCGTATGGCCAAGATTTTGATGGCTTGAAATACCAACCCTGTAATGGACAAAATCAGACAAATATAAGGACAGAAGCTTGCAGAAATAGGAAGCCTAACAGTCAATCACATGGTTTAAGCATGACAGCAAAGCACTGTGTACCTTGTGTGGATGGCTATCCAATTTTCTGGTTACGGTGTTTTATTTTGCTATGTCATTAATGAAGACAAGTTATTTGGACCATTTCATGTATTTAAACTTTAACATGTGAAGAGAGTTTTGGAGTTTAAATCCATAAAGACACTCTGTTAATTCCTAATAATTTCCATTTTTAATTGTGTAAAATTTAGAATCTGTTTGTTCTACACATTACTAGTATAGAGAACTGTACAGCATTTTGAATTGTTTCATATGTTCTTAATCCATTAGTAAATATGATATCCCATGTACCATTCGTAACAACTACAGTCATGAACATTCTATATGCTTGTTGCTGATTCACAACTGTTGCCTGTTAGTGAATTTCTAAGCATTGCACATTTACATCTTCAGCATGTATTTCTTTACAATAATTTGTTAACGACAAGTTGCATATTCTCACCTGCTTTCCTAAGGTCAGGACTTTCTCAGGTGTATGGATATGAATATTGTGCACAAGTTCAGACCACATATTCACAAGTAAGAAATAATTTGGTGCACTCAGGTGTGTGTGAGAGAGAGAGAGAGAGAGAGAGAGAATTTGGCTATTGTGAGCATATTGCTAAATAGAGTATGATCTTTATCATTATTAAGTTATGGTACACTTTTATGTGAAAAAGACTACACTCTGGCTTGTGTATGGTGTAAATGGATTTGTTTGTCACAACCCCCACTTTTTTTTTATTCGCCTAGTGGGGCTGTAATGGCTGGAAATCATGAAGGCGAGGAAGATAGAAAGGGTCTGGGATGGCTATTCACTGTGAAAGCCATATGTAGTAGGAGCTCTCAGGCACGAAAGTTCAGGAACATTTAATCAGAGAACATGTAGTCCGGGCAAGGGTTTCTGTCAGTTTTATATCAGATCTGAGAGTTACCGATCTTTCTTGACTGAATTAGAGATGTAATTAATCTGTTACTGGTTATTTTGTAAACATCTTGAAATGGGAAGAAGTGCTTTGTAATACAGATTCCTCATTATAGGGATAATTCCAAATCGTTTTATATGTATTTAGTATAAGGCAGTTCTGTAGCTATAGGCAGTTAGGTGCGAATTCCTCAGTGCAGAGGTCAGGGATTAGTGATTTGCTTTTAAGTTGCATGGTTAAATTTGCAATATAAGTAGAACTCTCTTGGGATGTCAGCTGTTTTTAATATTGCACTGTGCATGAATGTGATCTGAATGGTAACAGACACTTACACTATCATCCACTTATATTTTTAAAATTAAAGCCTTAATGTTGAAATGATAACTCATACAAATTAAAAGACAGTTATTTTGTATGGTCAGGGTTAGCCATGTGTATTGAAGGCTTTTATTTCTTTCTGTGGAGATTATTGTATATTGTGTACTTTTCTCTAATACTCATTAGGAAATAATGTTTTTTTTAGCATGGGCCCACAGGCGGCTTCTTATAATGCTAAGTGGAGTTTTCAAAGAGAGTTCATGTTTCTTTATTGATTATGAGTCGTTCTGATTTTGTATTCTGCAGTACTGTCATGCCTTTGTGATTTTACAGGTACCAGATCTTGTAAATGAAGTAAAGATGAGTTGACATTGGATATTCAGACACTGGCACTTAACCTTTTGACGTGGTCATTTAAATTCCGCGGCCGCGGCTCCTGCGGTAATATATTCAGCCGGCCATTTAAATTTTGCTCGAAAATTATTTATTCATCATTGTTCTTAAATTCTATGAGATAGGAACATGAAACTTTCACTAAAATGATCTTAAAAGGTGGTTTTATAACCTTACCTTATAATATG